AAAAATCAAGTAGATCTATAAACATATGAAAATCTTGAAAATGGACGGTGTAGATAATATGTTGTAAAATATATTATTTCTTAGAGTTAAAATATTTTTATTTTTCATGATCATACATCTCAATGTCGAGATGATCAATCAAAGGGTTTTTTAGCGTTAAAAACACTTTTTTCAATAAATTTTTGAGGTGCATCCGTAGTTCTATATTATAAGGTTGCATCCTTATATAAATTTTTCTCCAAAATCATATACCATGATAAAATTTGAAGGCGCATCTTACCTCTACTGCTACAGGATGCATCCGTATGCCAACTGCACCCTATCCAAAATCGACCCTTGTTCGTCTCCTGCGAAGTATTATTTCCTGTTTAGAGAGAGAGGGAGGAGAGAGAAAGAGAGCAAACAATGGCGATGAGCATCTCCTGCCCTCACACCTGTAATGCTACCACACACCCATCTTCCGCTACACAAATAGGGTTTAAATCTTCTCTCTCAATTTCAAGCTTCAAAAAAGGGAGAGTGCAGCTGCCAGTTAATAAGCCATCTTCTCTCACTAGAAACTTCTCCATTCGTTGCCAGCAGCAAGTCACAATCCCTGCTGAGCAGAGATGGATGTATGAGCCTGATGAAATCAATGGCCCTGTAATATCTCCCTCTCTCTCTCTCTCTCTCTCTATTCCATTGCCCATAGCTTATTTATGCATCTTGCTTTAAGAAAACAATGGCTTTTCGTTGTGTTGGTTGAAGATGCTCACTTGTTTTAGTTTAGACTGAAAATGCTAGCTAGGATTTCATTCGGAGATTGAGCTCATTGGAGTTATAGAGGTAATTAACTCATAGTTTATACTTTCTGATTATCTCAGTACTAGTCCACTTTAGTATGTTCCATCTTTTCAAACTTTCAGGTTAAATTCTATTTACTGGGTTTGATAAAATTTAAAAAATGCTGTTTATTCCTGTGATTATTTGGTGTAGCAATTATATGCACTTTGCGCAAATTGATGGTTGCACTCTATTCATCGATGACATGCTTCTTGTAAAAGAAAATACAAAATAGAATGTTGATTAATGAAAGATCAGTGTGTGACCTCAAAAAAAAAAAGAAAGATCAGTGTGACCCTGTAACAGCAGAACTTGAGAAGCATTAGGAAAAAAAGTATCAATTTTCAAAGAAAAATTAGCAAACAAGTATCTTTCCTTCACAAAGGAGGTGAAGGAAAGGAGGTGACACTTATGTTGGTATATTTTATATTACCGCTCACTGTTTAAACTGGATGGGGCTATCTTGGATAATTGGTACCAAAGGTTTGGTTGGAATACGGGAGTTTGTGGCTTATGATTATCCATAGGAAGTAGGTTCTTGCTAGCAATTGGTGGCGGTTTGAAAAGTTTGATAACTGCGATAGGGTTGCGGACTTGAGGTTTTGAACTTTGAATGGGCGTTAGACTCGAGGAAGGGAATTAAATTTAAGTTTGAGGATCACTCCAGGTTCATTGTCTGGTTTTATTTATAGCCTGGTGAAGTTTTGTTATAGGTTCATTCTCCGAATCTTTGTGTGTATCATAGAAGCAAGAAGCCAATCCTAGGGATTGCATTGAGATGTTAGCGGATTCAGTGATCTTCCATTTGGATTTTGGGAGGGATCTTACGGGCAAAGAATTTTATGGGTCAAGCAGTCAAGCTAGCTTATGTTGTGTTTTCGAATTAGTGTGGCGCTAGTGTCTATACCCCCATTTGGAACCAGCAAGACGGTGTGGAGGTGTGATTGCCTTGATGGATTCTTGAATAAATTATGTTGTAGTACTTTCCTAAGTAGGATTCCTGACTCAACTTGTTAGCAATGCCTTTTGGAGAGTTTGAAACTACTGAAGTGATCGTTTCGGGTTTCAACTTTCCATCTCTGGCATTGTAGCTTCCAGTAAACCAGTTCCTGGATGCTTGTTTTACTTGTAGGGATAAATCTATGGTCCATCAGTCCTTACAAGACAATTTGGAGTTTCTTATTCGAAAGTAGCCTAGGTTGTGCTAATCGTTGTTCTTATTGGTTGCTGGTTTGCTCCCATGCTTACTAAATCGGGCTTATAGTCTGATATTGTTTCCCAATAGCCACATGAAAGCAATGAAATGTTAAACTATTTAGGAGTATGTGTGCTCATTGAGAGGTTATTAAGATGTTGTTATCCCTTCAGCTCTGATCTTAGAGGAGCTTTGAAAACTCAGAGTGTAAGGTATTGCACAGAGTCTACAATAGTGGTTGACTACCTCGTCATGAAGAGTGAGAGTAGGGTTTGTTAGGGTGCCATTAAGGGGTTCTTAAACATAGTTACTAGGATCTCCCAACTGAGGTGTCTATCCCGCTCAGGGATCTCTCTCTAACACTCCAAGATAGGAATCTCAATGGGATCACGATTTTTAAATTTACGGATGTCAAATCTCCACTTTTAGGGGTCTCTCCTAGCTGCTCGAAAGGGTGGCAAGATGTCAAGAAAATGATCCGTTTGAAACTTAATTGCGATCATACACTCTCTCTCTCTCTCTCTAATGCTTTTGGAGGTTTTAAAATATAAAATTGAAAATAAAGTGGTTTGATATGCATTTGGAGGTCATATAGTGTGAAAAAGAAAATAAAACATATTTTACGAATAAAAAGTTCAACTGCCATGACTTTTTAGCAGTTACTTGTTGTGCCACATCAAATGTTTTTTAATTGTCTTTTGTGGGATTACTGTTACATAGACGACACCTCAAAGGAACATAAAAACATTATTTTGTTAGTTTAATAGTTTTAATTAATATTTTTTATTTTGATTGCACATTTTATTGTGCCTTTTTTTACTATATTTTATTTGATTATTGCATGTTTTAGTTTTTAATAAAATTTCCTTTTTAATATTTATTTATTATTAAATAATTCTAGGGGCCATCACTTGGTGTGACTGTAAAGTCTCGAGTAGCCAGCGCAAGAGCGCGGGTTCGAGTCCTGAGAGCGGCCACTTTGTGCATAAGGCAAAGGTTAGGACCGTTTCCAGCCCACCCCTTCCGGGACCCTGCTTAGGTGGGACCAGCACCGTGTTACGGCCCTTTTTAATTAATTAATTATATTGAATGCACTCCTGATCTAGGAAGCTATGTGAAAATGGCTCACCTGAATCTCCAATTTGAAGAACAAGAGTTTGCATGACCTCACAGCAGCAGCCTTTGGATCGCCTTAAATGGAAAGGCTTATAATTCTCACAATTTATAGTGTTCTCAGTTCTCACCATTTCCAACCTTTTTTTAATCTCCCCCCTTTAATGTTCCAAGCATTTTCCTATGCCTTTTGTGCCCAAACTGCACATGCATTGCCTCACTGTTCCATGTCTGTCCTCTCTGCCGTATAGTCTAACCTGGATGGAATGGATAACGTAGATTCTTAGAAACGCCTCTACCTGGACATGCCCCTAGATAGAGCTCCTCTAATCACCTCATCTTATATTGTCTATGATGCACTGCTCGTAAGTGCTTAATGTATCGGTATTGTACTGTGGTGAAACCACTACTAATTCCAGATACTGCTGGGATACTTGTGAATATAAAAACACATGACTATACAAAATATAATGTTAATGAAATATAATTTTATGCAGTGTGATATGGTTTACATAATTACATATGTATGGATGCCCGTATTTCTATATTATTCAACCTATAATATTATCATATTTGTACTATATCCTGGATATAGATGTTTTGGATTAGGAGGCTCACATCCGTGTCCGGGATTTCGAGAAATGTTCATTGTTGAGTCATATCCCTGTTCTTCCTATATGTGTCCATATGTGTACTTATGTCTAGGCATCTTAGATTATATCCCACCTTTATCAAAGAATTACATACTTTATCTTACTTAACTAGTGTTGGTCTAAGAATGGTGATGACCTTAAACTTTCTCTTAACCCATCACATGCCCAGGTAAAGGGCCTGGGTTGTGTTAGATATGGGGACTTATGGCCTCACTGAGGGCATGACCGTAAATAGAGCAGAATGGTAGACCAAGATTCGTATAGCCGACTCCAATGAATTAGGAAAAGGCTATGATAATGATGATCTTACTTGACTAGTGTACCTCCACTCTCTTCCACTAATCCATTCGAAAACTTTATGTCGTCATTATTTCTAATGTTCTTCTAATTAGAGGCTTCATGCTCAAAAGCCATTATGTCATGGGCTTTTTAAGATTATGCTCATTTGATAGTCTGTTGACAATAAAAAACAAAAATATGTTGTCAATTGTTCCGTGACAGGCTTTAGAGTTCCTTGTTGAGCTTCATATAAAAAACCAAGTCCATATTAATACTGCTTATGCTATAAGTTTGCAGTATTTGACATTCTGTTGGCAACTCTTTTCTGTGTTTTTTGCTCTTAGCATTCTTTTTGTCTGTAACTTTTACATTTCTTTGATATTCATTCCAGGACATTTGGAACAGGACTTGGTATCCTAAAGCTGCAGATCATGAGAACTCAAAGAAGACATGGTATATAGTCGATGCCACTGACAAAATTTTGGGAAGGCTAGCATCTACAATTGCCATTTATATTCGAGGGAAAAATTTACCGACCTACACCCCTAGTGTAGACATGGGAGCTTATGTCATTGTGGTATGTATTTCATTTGATAGATGACAAAATCTAAACCGTTTCAACAAGTAATTCGATCTTTGTTATTGAACAACCATTTGGTATGGTTGGAACTCTTTATTCTGGAGCCATCATGTGGATAATTAGGTGCAATTCTATCTGTGTCAGTAGATTCATTATAATTTATTGCTTTTGATTTTTTCTATGATTCTTTGAGCTTGTATATATGATTTGATGAGCTCGAAAAAAAATCAGTAAGTTTCTCTTCTATGTTCTTTTTTACAGATAATGAAACCTAAACTATCTCACTAATTAATATTGTCTCTACTGTTGAGTGTTCATGTTGTTGTAGGCTCTATTCCTTAAAATGTTGTATTTTCTAATAATTAGCCCACGTATGCATGTAGAACTTGTTCCTGGCCATCTCAGTTCTTACTTCCCCTCTTACGTGCTTCCTACATGTATGTCCCTATATTATTGTGAGCCTATATTATTGTAAAAGTTTGATGATGCTTGTCAACAATGCCTCTTGTTTATTATTTATCTCTATCTCTAACTATGACTCCACAGTAATGCTTGTTAGGTTTCTCCTAAGCAAGCTAATATATTTTGAGAGAGCACCTTGTGAGGCTTTGGTGCATCTTCGTCTGAGCATCTAAGTTGGACTTTAAGGTTTTGTGTTTCTTCTTGACCTAGATCTGAGGAGGGCATCTGGTGAATAATGTTGCATTTTGGTGACTTCTTGTCGTCCTCACCCATTTTCCTCTAGGGAGTATCTAGATTTTCTATGATCTTAGTGAATGGTTTTGAAATTGAATATGTACAAAATCAAGGTAGAGGGCTCAATATACTGAAGGCCATACACCTGATTATCATGACCGACCTGATTTTCGATGATTGCAATGTGTTCCCAGTTTCCTCTGTGCTTCATGTAAATGTTTATTTATGTGGGATGCACAGGGATGGCTTTGCCTGGTGTTTTGTTGAACTTCTGTCATTTCATTAAGAACTGATGGTTCTAAGCATTCTGAGATTAGAAAGCTTAGAACCAATTGTTATTGAACCTCTGGAAATACATGCTTGTGACTGATCAATTAAAAGTAGTTGGACTATCTGGTTTAAAGCTTGATACCCAGACGGGACACAATTGTTATTAACTACGGGATAAGAAAATGAGCAAATAGACTTTTACAGGAAAGGAAATGAAAAGAAAAAAAGAAGCAGTAGTCTGGCACAGGTGGATTAGGTGACAGGTGCTATGAGGTAGTCTTACGTGGATGCCAATACGAGTGTTGGTGGCCATGATTGTCTCAGGTGTCTAGTACATTGGTCTAAAATGTTAATAGGGCTAGACATGTCCCTACATTTAATTTTAAGTAAAATATTGTGTATTTTATGATATCCAATTGTTCCCCTTTCTCTAACACGGATTAAATGGGTGGGGAGACGGTGGCTTGAATGAGACAAACTCAAACTGAGGTAAGATTGAGTCCCCCCATGTGCTCTTGCATATTTTTGAGTACTTGACTATATACCAGTGTCCCAATATGTCAACATGCAATATAAGGCCTATGGCTACGTGTCGTGATAACACTGCTGAGAAGTCTCGTTTCTGGGAAAGCAGGCCTCTTTTTATTTTATTTTGGATTGTATGGCATCATTATGGGGGTTACCTCATCCTTTTCCCCTATGATAAAGGAAAGGGTGGGATCGTGATTCGATGAGGTTGCAGATGATGAGAAACAATAGAAAAAGTGATTGGGCAGCATATGAAAAGCATTTCCTATGTACATTGTTTCGTAGATCGCATGTTTCTTGATTTGATTAGATGGTTGCTCTGGGGAGGAGGCCTTCTTTTGAAGAGGGTCTAAAATTGTGGTTAGATTTTGAAATAAAATTATATCTTTGTTGCATGTTCAGCTAAATGTAGAGAGGACAGTAGGGAAACTTTTTTTTTTTTGAGAGATAGGGCAGTAGGGACACTGTTTGTTAGTAAGACTTTCAATAACAAATGATAATAATAATAATATCAACCGCTGTTGATCCCTTATATTATATATTGTACATGAAGGTGAATGCAGAAAAAGTCGCTGTTTCTGGCAAGAAGAGGATGCAAAAACTATATAGAAGGCATTCAGGAAGGCCTGGTGGAATGAAGGTGGAAACATTTGATCAACTCCAAAATAGAATTCCAGAGCGAATAATCGAGCATGCTGTTCGTGGAATGCTTCCTAAGGGGAGGGTGAGACCATAATATAGTTTTTATACCTTACGGTTTCCTTGTTGAACTCATTTAAATATAAAATTTAGTAAATATTGAGGTGCACTCACTCTACGACCATTGCTATTATTGTCTCATACTCTGATTTTAGTGTAATCTTTGAGTAATCTCTGTATATTTGTGCCTGTGTTCTTGAACACTGTAGTGGAAACATTGTGTCGAACTAACTGAGACAAAAATAGTATTTCTGTGCTTATAGTTGTATTCAAGTAAAATGTTCATTGTACTTATTCTTGTGCTAGTCTTAGGTGTAGCTTGCATTTTAACGTATTTAATCTTAAGCATGTGTTTTTCAGTTGGGGAGGGCCCTCTTCACACACCTCAAGGTTTACGAAGGACCGGATCACCCACATGAAGCACAACAGCCAATTGATCTACCTTTAAGGGACAAGAGGATACAAGTCCAAAAGTGATTGCACATTGGGACATAAGATGACAAAACCAGCAAATGCTCTTGTGCTTGCCCCTTTCCCTACTCCATCCCTAACCTAGCTCTAGCCCCTTCCCCTATCCCATCCCTAACCTCCCTCCACCCCCTTCCCATACCCCCTCCCCCCAAATTTTTATGTATGTGCTTGTGTGGATAACATGTGGGACTTTTTTTCTACAATTTTGTATGCATCCTATTGCCAGCACAATGACCATTTGCTTATCAGTTTATTAAAGTATGCAAAATTTGTTAATGAATAGCGTTTGGCAAGTAGAAGCTGGAATCAGGATTGGAAATCCCATTTTGAAATTTGAAATGAAAAAGTTTTGAGTACTAGGTAATTGAAAATACTTTGTTTGGTTAATCTATCGGGAATTCTAGGGATTTTGGAAGCTGCTTATTGGTATAAGCTATAATTTTATCAACTTTGAAATATGTAAATTGACTAATATTACTATTCACTTAAGTTCGTTAATGAAATTGATATTTGTTAAGAGCAAATATCTCAGTCAGAAGACCACTTGATAGGAGGAACCACACTACTAGATGATTATTAAAAAAGTAAAATAATTGAAATTTGAGTATTCTAACATTTAGATCTCATCATCTAAAAATTGGATAGTCTCTGTTCAATCTCGATACAATAATTAGGAATTTTTATTGTTGAGCTTAATCTATGGGTAGAAGAGGTTAAATCCTCAAAATTTGGGGTCCTAAAATTAATTTTAGGTGAGGTTTTACCCGATGGAGTAGAATGTATCGAAGGAAATATCTTTTGGCATGTCTTAAGGAAAAAAGTTTAAGGGAGAGACCCTAAACAATCAAATTAAGGGCACCTCCAAAATCCACTAGAAAAGGTTGTTTCGATGTTACAAAATATTCAAATTGATCATCTCCACTTCAAGATGTATGGACATGATAAAAAATAGATTTTGAGTTTTAAAAATAGTCCAGCTTATAATGTATTTACATATCATTAATTTTCGATATTTTTTAAGTGTTCATATATCTGCAAGATTTGCTTTGAAATTTATAGTTACATATAAAAATAAAGTTTCAAGCCGTCCAGAAGAGTCAGTGCTGAATAACCCTTTATGAAATAAATGAATGATATTTGGAAAGCATCTCGTCCTTGATAGTCTGGCGAAATGGATGACATTGATTACAACGAAAATACTTCTTTCAATGGGTTGAGACTTGAGAGTACGTACAACGATTTTAGTTTTTATACATTTTTAGTAGAGCCAAAATTTTGGGGGCTACATTTTTCACCGCACACACATTTAAAAATATAATTTGAAATCGAAAAATTAATGCATAGATCCTCTTTTATTTTTTTTAATTATAAAATGCTCCAAAACTTTTCCAGCAGTGGTCCCTTCTTTTATTATCTCCTTTATATCCAAAAAATACCAGCTAGCATCAAACTTTACTACATCTTTTCATGAATCCTGAATCTGTATGGGTAATAGAATCTATGTAACCAACCCCAAATAATCGGAATGAAGGTATGATGTTGATAACCCTGCTCAGCCCTTGAGGGATTGATCTGATGTTTGTGAGCACCAGACTCTGCATTTATAAGCATGGTATGCACACCAAATGCCACCTTTTACTCATAAGAGCTAGTTCGACCCTTGAAGGATTGAATAAGCTAGTTCGACCCTTGAAAGATTGAATTGATTTGTTTGAGTGTAGTACACATGCTAAAGGATTAGACTTTGTGAACACCAGTTTGATCTTTCAAAGGTCGAAATGGCTTCTATAAAATGTGTATGAACCCTACAAGCCAGTTAGACCCTCCAAGGGTTGAACTAATGCTCATATGAGCGTGTTAGATCCTTCAAGGGTCAAACTAACTTCTTTAGTGTGGTACGCACACCGAGAGCCAATTTGATCCTTAAAGGGGTAGAACTGGTGCTCACTCAAGCCGGTTTTACCATGAGGGATTGACATGGTGCTCACAAAAGTCATTTCGGCCCTTTAAGGGTCAAATGGAGGGTATTTTTTTTATATAAAGAAAATAACAAAAAATGGAGCCTTTGTGTAAAGGGTGTGACTTGTAGAGCCGAGGCTCTAAACAATAAAAGTAGAGCGCATCTCTAAATAGTGTCAAGAAATATAGTTTCAATACTGAAAATCTTTGTGATAGCTTTAAAATATATTTTTATCTCTAATTACAAAATTCAAAGCTTCAAAAAATAGTGTAGATCGAGTAATATGAAAACTTGAAAATTGTCGGTCAAAAAAGTGCAATACAATATGTACTATTTCCAAAACTTGAAATCTATTTTTTTTTCATGTCCATGCATCTTGAGGTTGAGATGATTAATTTGAAGATTTTTTAGCATCAAAACAACCTATTATAGTGAAATTTTTTATTTGCACCTTAATTTGACTGTTTAGAACCTCACACTTATATAAACTTTTTCCAATAAATGTAACTATATATGTTTAAATATAATATTTAAATAATACATATATACATACATACATACATACATACATACATATGAGCCAGTGGGCTCACAAGCAAAAATTAGTCCAATGGCCCATATTGAATCTGAGCCGATCTGACAATCATGGATGTCCAGTAGTGTTTAAATTTTAATTTTTTTTTTCTAAAAATCCAAATCACTTGAAATTTTAGGCGTGTATTATTCTCATCAAGACGTACCTAATAAAAATATATAAAAAATAATCTACAAAAATGACCAAAATACCCCCAAATTTTTACTGGGGTATTTTGGTCAATTGTTTTTATGTAAAATATTTTTTGAAGATTCACATATTTTTTATGAACACACACCTACAATTTCAAGTGATTTGAATTTGTAAAAAAAAAGAAGATAAAATTCAAACATCCGTGATCGTCAGATCGGCTCAGATTCAACTGGCTCACATGATCATTTTCCATATATATATATATATAAGGAGAGAGAGAGAGAGATGTAACATAATATTTAAATATAGGGAAATTATCATAAACATACCTTAATTTACGCCTAATTGAAAATATCTCTCAACTTTCATAAATATCGTCCATACTTTTTTTAAAAAAAATTGTCATTTTTTTTTTTACCAAAATAGCCTTTTTTTTCTTACATATCTTATTTATCTCTCTAATTCTTTTTTATCTCTTATTTCTCTCTATCTCTCATTCTCTCTCCAAGGAGATTTGTATAACAACTTGTAAGTACCTTACCCTCCACTATAAAAACTCCCTTCAACCCCATCTCTTATGAAAATTACATCGAGTCAGATTTGTATCACGTTGGAATTGCATTTGTTGAGTCGATGAAGTAAGCAGAGAGAAAGAGAGTTAGAGAGAAATTTTCTAGAGAGAGAAAATAGAGATAAAAAAATTAGGGAGAAATAATAGATAAATATTAAAAATAATTAGAAAGAGAAAAAAGAGATAAACATAACAAAATATAGGGAAAGGTTTTTATACTTCCCCTACAGCATAGAAGATCTATAATTCCCCTACCATCCAGCCGTCCAATTTTGATCAAGAGAGACAATTACTGTTTGATCCTTAATCCAACATCTATTTGTAGTTTTTTTTATACAAATTTTATAAATATGAAATTTGGTACGTGCCATCTTCTCATTGAGGTGCACCTATAAACAATATTAAAAATGATTTTTCTATAAAATATAATGACAAAAATACCCCTTGAAACTTTTAGGGGTACTTTGGTCATTTTATTTTATTGAAAGTATTTTTACTTTTTTTATTTTTTGCTAGTGCGAGTTTAATAGAGGATTGGACATCCAAAATTTGGTGTCAAAATAGTTTATAGAAAAAAACAAAAAAATAAAATTGTGGTAGAGACGTGATATTGTGATTGAGGCAATCTTAACCCTCAATTCAGAATGGACGGTTGGATAAGGGAAAGTATATAAGTTTTATGTTGTAGGGGAAGCATAGAAAGCTTGCCCAAAAGAATTAAAGAGAAACAGGAGATAAACATACAAAATTTAGATAAAAATATATATAAATATAAACAGGAGAAAATGGTTTACAAGATTTCAAGGGCCGTATAACATAAGTTAGTTTTTATGATACTTAAATGCCGTATAATATGAGTGGGTTTACAGTACTTAAAATGGCATATAAAATGGGTTAATTTTTACGGTACTTAAAATGCCGTATAACATGACTTAGTTTTTAAGTACCATAATTATACTTCGTGGTAATACGAATACTGTGAATGTTATTTTGGTGAAAAAAACACAAATAATTGAACAAAAAGGGTGTGTGCAAGGTTTATGAAAGTTCAGGTTTTTTTTTTCTAAATAGACATAAATTACGGTATATTTGTGATATTTTTTTTAAAAATTTAACAAAAATTAAGGTATATTTCTAATAATTTATCTTGAATATAGTTAAGGGTAATGATCCTATGGGACCTTCCTACACCCATGTATGTAGGACTCCAAATGATCACCATTAAATTTTACACAGATATCTAAGAAAGTCAAGTCCCACACCTGTATGATAATTTTTTTAGAAATCTGTACTAAATTTAATGGCGATCGTTTAAGATCCCACACACATGGGTGTAGAAAGGTCTTATAGAATTATTATTCTATATTAAATATATATATTTAATTTTTTAGCCAGGTTCCAATTGGGGCGGTGCGGTCCGGGTCCCAGAAGTTGTTTTGCGGCGCCGTTTCTCAACCCGACTCGTAGACACTCCTGCGCTGTATCTGAAGAATCTCAACCGTTCACTTCCACCATCTGTCCTCGATCTTCTCGTAAAGTATCGTTTGCCACGTGTCGCGCTCCTTAAACGGACTGAAAGGGCAGACCGGAAGAGCCCGAGGCATTGCCGGTAGCCGGTAACCCTGTCAGGGAGCTCCCTCATTATTCATAAGAGCTGGAAAAAGAAAACCCTCGTTCGGCGCGCTCCTTTGCCGGTCATCTCCCTCTCTCTGGTTTCCCTCCCTTTTCAAAAACAAATGCTCTCGCTCTCTGCTTTCCTCCTGCTGCAACTTGACATCCGTTTTCGCTGGTACTCACTCGTCCTCTCTCTCTCTCTCTCTCTCCTCTTATTTCCTTGTACGTAATCTCGACGGGACTCTTATTTTCTGGCTCCTTATGTCTTTTTTCCTCTCATTTTCTCAAATTTATGAGACAATCTGGCTTTCTGTTATTTTCTTATCGGGTTTAGGCTTTCGTTTTGCTTTGTTCAGAGGTGTTTTGTGGACTTGTGTTCTCTATTGGTTGAGTGATGTGTTGTATACTTCACGTGTAGCTATTTTGCTGATTGTTCTGGTTTTTCATGTTCTTAAAGCTGTTTGGATGGTTGAAAGGAAGCTCCTTTATTGTTTGTTCCTTTTTTGTTATCATTTTTTGGGTTCTGGCTTTTTGGATGCTTGAAATGTAGCTAGTTTGTTGCTTATTCTGGTTTATTATGTATCTAGAGCTCTTAGAATGCATTGAAGACGACTCCTCTGCTGTTGTTCTGCTTTTTCTTTTTCTTTTTTCTTGGGCTCTGGCTCTTGGATGCTTGAAATTCCTTGCTGTTTTTTATTCTTTTGCTCTGGATTTGTAAAGGACTCGTACCCCAGGTTTTCCAAGGATTCATGCCTGAAATTTGTTTCTTTTGGAGTTCTCTTTACTCCTTTGCCTGTATTTGTAGTATTCTCTATCTTTTGGTTGAGTTTTGATGATTGCTTCTGAAAGGCCTGTTTTTTTCTTGATGTTTATGTGGTTTTTTAAGTTTAGATATGTCAATCTTCATCTGGTTCTTTACACTTAGTCAGCATTGTAATTTTGCGGTCATACTTATTAAAAGGAGTGCTTTTTAAATGTCTACAGTAGTTTGGTTGTTATATCTATTTCTTCCAGGTAGATACGTAGACATGACCCTTTTGGAGTAGTTAACTGCTGCTTCGTATTTCACTTCAAGAGTCTTTCTTTATGCGTTGTGTCACATGTGTTTCTCAGCATTTGCACGGAGCTTTTCTAGTTAAATTGTGCGAAAGGCATCTGTGTTCTCATACTTGTTCTTGTTTTATTCCTCCTTGGACATGGATGTTCAAAGCTTATGGCTTGGAGGTTGTTATAAAACTTACATCATGCAGTTGTTAGCTTTAAGTTCATTTAATCTTTTCTGGGTTAATTTACCTAATGAGATCTTATGACGCCTTATAGGAAGTCTATGATTAAGCCTTATGTAGCTTTTATTTTTACATTATAAGTGGTTACTACTAAGCATCTATTTATTTAATATTTTTCTGAGTAGCTGTTATTTTATAAGAATTTATATGATTTTCAATCAATAAACATTTTTTTTAATATGTTTTGAAGCTGCTGTTCGTGGTTATTTTTTAAGCAGGTGGGCTTGTATGCTAGCATTCAAAGATTGTCTGTTTCTTTTATAACTTGGCTGGTCTTAAGCTTCTACATTTAGCTTGTGCATCTTTACAAATTCAATGCAAAATTAATTCATATAATTTTTTTTTTTCATTTTGCATCCGAATCATTGGTTTTTTTAGTTTAGTTCTATTCCATTTCCGTTATAAAATAATTGCTAGGTTTTGGCATCTACTATGTCTAATAGTTTTTATTTTTTTATTTTTTTTATTTGGCATTAAGTCGGTCCTGATCTCCTCTTTCACGGTCCAAAGCATTTTCTAAATTGTTCAATGAACTTCAAATTTGTTGCATTCAGTTCTGTAAGTTGTTCTGGTTGATTGGACTTGAAATGACACCAAAAATATTAAAATTCGCTTAATCTTTGGCATCAATTGCTTTTTCTTTAGTTCACACTTTGCAGACTTTGACTGTTAATCATTGAATTAACTTTGAGCATGAATATGTTGGACAATACTTTCATTATGTTTAAGCTTGTAGTAGGAGCTTTAATCCTTGATTGTTTCATGCTCCCTCTTTTGTCCTGACTTCCTTAATTTAACAAAGAAATGCACTTTAAACTTGTAAATGGGATCCTTCTCCTTGCAACAGCAATTTGTTTACATTTTTCCTGATTTCTCGCATGGGACCGTTCTTTTGACAACTTTAGCCTACGGGCATAGATTTTTTTAAACATGTAGTATGGCATGTTAATTAATTTTTCTCTTGCATTAGCTTCTTGATTTTCATAATGTTGTATTCTTTAACTAATTTTCCCCCTTTTTCTTGTCAATTTCCAGCATTTAAAATTCTCTAAGATAAAATTCCTTTTATTTTTTTTGGTACGTAATCCATGAAGCTACAAATGAACGGGTGGTTGCCTTCTTATCAATGCTACACATTCGGTCTTAAGGATGCATAAAATACCCTAGAGTAAGAACTCTAAAATGTGTTTATTAAATGGTGATTTTAAGGCAAAGCGTATGGTAGAGCACCTAGCATTGGATAAACTAAGAAAGTCCTCTACCTTTTTTCACTGTCACTCTATCCTTCACATCACATGTGTCTCCACCTGCATATAAAACATATTTGGCCCCTATTCCTAGCAGTTTGATATGAATGGGATAGCTTAAGTCACAATGTCACACATAAAAGTTGTTTTGCTTTTATCTTTTACACAAATCAGTTTTGCTTGAAATTTGGGGTGTGTCGTTACCTTAATTGGGGCGCGCCTAGCAAAAAGAAATTATTTTTGATTAAAAATGACCAAAATACCATTGCAAGATCCAAGGGTTTTTTGGTCATTTTTCATTAGAAACATTTTGTCTTGTTTAGTAGCTGCGCCCCTATGAGAGTTGTGCACATGAGGCTATGAACTGTTCGAGCTGGGTTCGGGTTAGCTCGCACCAAGACCCGACCTAACAATGCAGTGGAACGACCTGGACTTGGACTTGGACTTGGACCTTATCAGGTCTGAGGGCCCCTTACCTGGATTGGCCTGGGCTAGGACTTAGACATGGAACCGGGCTATGGGAAGCCCTGACTTTCTTCTACCCCCTTTGATATCAACCATCCATTTTTCATTTCGGCTTCTTTCCTAGGGCTATTGCTTCCTTTGATCTCAGCCATCCATCCAATTCTGCTTCCTAACAATCTTCTCTTGAATGGGGTTGCATCTCCCTTTGGTCTCGCTTATCCATTCAACTGACTCTAACCTTGTAGAGCTCCCCAAATCCCAAGTCTTAGTGTACAAATTTTGTGGCTCAGGCTTTTCAGATAATCAATTTTATGAGACCTTCTTGTAGAGATACACTATGAAAAGGGGTTTCTTTAACTAAAGCAGATAAAAACGAAGGAGTAAGTACTTTAGGAGAGAGAACATGAAGGGAATGGGTAGAAGGGGTCTAGGGATAAGCCATCTCGTCTTCAACAAATGAGGGATTGAAATATGGTTAACTGCCTAGCCCTTGACCCTAAAATGCTTCTCATCCCTCTCTAGCCCCATCCCATCAAGGTTTCTCTCTCTAGCCCCATTCCTAGCTCCTTCTATCCATCATACTACTCGACAACTCCCACCATTCCAATCGGTGCATTAGGTGGTGCTTGCCTTTTTCTTTGCCATTTCCATGGCTTCTACGCTTGTTTTATTTTTTTAATAATTGATTGATATCATTGAGGTAGATCCAATGAACCAAGCCATTGCAATAGATCCAAAGCAGTAGACGACCATGGCAAGAGCGCAACAAAGGGGATGAAGGCAGAGAGAACATATATGGGTCATCTATGATGAGGGTTTTAGAGAGGGGAAAAACGATTCCATGAGGGTTTAGATCAACAAATTGTATAAACACACTTTATAAAAATTATATATGTTGTAAATATAATAAACATTTTTGGAGAATTTAGTTGTGGCACCAATAGGCGATAAGATGTGAGAAAGTAGACTCAAGTGGGCTGGCCATGTGGCGTAGACTTATTATAACACCTGTTAAGAGGTGCGAATTAATTCAAGTGGAAGGTTGAAAAAGGCAATGGTTAAGGATATGGTTTGAAGTAGTGAGAAACAATATGGGAACTTATGGCCTAACTGAGGGTATGACCCTTAATAGAGCAGAATGGCGGACCACGATTCGTGTAGCTGACCCCAATTAGTTGGGAAAAGGCTTTGATGATGATGATGAAATGTAATAAATTTATTTAATCTGGTCGACCTAGACCTGGATTTGACTTGAAAAGTATTTGAGTCTAGGATTTTAGACCCTCTCTTGACCTGGAGGTTCCAGATCCTTGACCTAGATCCCGACATGGTTGGGTCGATCCACTAGGTCGGCAGGTTAATCCCACGTGATTTTCACCCCATGCGTACACCCCAAATTTCATTACAAAAATGATTTGTAAAAATGAAAATAAAAATAAAATTGGTAAAGATCAAAAGCTAAAAAATTTAATTGTGATACTATGTCTGAAGTTATCCCAACGGTCCATTCAAATTGGATTGTTGCGAACGACGGTCACATATTTTTTTTATTTGGGTGGTGCTATATGTAATATTTTCCTTTTTCTTACACGAGAAATTTTGTCATCTTTGGAGGAATGAGTCCACATGCTTGCAAACTTAGGCTTCTCAAAATGAAATGCTTGTGGGGGTAGTTTCATTATGTTAATAACTATGAAATTTGTCGTAAACAAAATTTTTGGTTGTATTGGAATGGGTTTTGAGTATGGTGGTACTGTTCAATTGTTTCAAAGTGCTTGCCATTTGGGTAGTAGTTTTTGGAAATGGTTCCCTTTCTGTAATTTCGGTTTTTTGACCATGTTATGGAAATGATGCCTTTAATGTTCTTGTTTGTCTTTTCCTTTGCAGAAGTTTCATTGTGTTTTCCTGAACCGCCAATATGAAGGACACTAAAGTTGGCAGGTTTGCTTTCTTACAAGAAGGCTGTAATAATTATTATAACTCCATGATAATTCTAACTATAAGAATTATGTAACTTCTTTTAGTTGTCAAACATAAAAGATTCTCCTGCAATGCATATCGATACTTCATTTTTCTCTTCAAATAGTTTTATGGTTTATGGATTAGTCTTTTGTTATCATTGTCGACATGTATTTTTCTGATGTTGTTTGCTTTGTTCCGTTGAAATATGGAACTAACAATGTTATTAACTACCTTGAGAAAGTTTAAGATTTTATATCAGGCTTTTGGAAAATAGTTCGGCTAAGTGGATTGGCCCACCACTGGACATTGAATCGGGTGATTCCAAATGATGATCTAGCAAATAAAAAAAAATAAAAAATGGAGGAAAGGAAAAAAAAAGGCTGCATAGAACCATCTTTCATATGTTTCTATGATGATTTAAAATTCTGAATCATATATATATATATATATATATATCGTGCATTTGTTTTTGGCATAATAGATTGACTAGGGCCAATTCTCTATTTTAGGAGGGAATGACTGAGTCAACCTTAAATCCTGATCGGGATTGGTGATTCCTGATTTTGATCAATGATTTGTTTATATATTAAGAATTTTGTTATTTTTAATTAGTGCATGAGTTCCCACTAAAATGTTGTATGCCGATCTATGGTATTTGGTCTGGTTTGTGACAACATATTTAGACAGAGAAAGTCAAGAGTTGAATCCTTGAAGTTTATCAGTCATGCAAACCGAATTGAGGTAATTGAAAACATGTGGAAATAATGAGCTCAATGATTTAAAAAGCGGACTGCCCAACACCTGGGCGGCCGCCTAGGTGGTCCAGAAGGCTTGGGGCCATTGCCCAAGTCCAGCCTAGGCGGCCAAATTAGGCGGATATGCCTGGGCGCCTGGGAACCCTCCTAGGCGGCCAAATTAGGCGGATATCCCTGAGCGCTCGGGAGCCTGCCTAGGCGGCCGCCTAGGGCATGCGCCCTACCCAGGGATGGAAATGCCCCTTGTTGAGGGTATTTTTTGATCATTTTTTTAATACTATAGGGGCAAAATTTTGGGTTTTATGTTCATTTGAAACCTAAAACCCATTAGAGCCTAATTTAGAGAGAGAAAAACCAGATAAATTTTTTTTTTTTACTGGGCGGCTCAGGTTTTGGGCCCCAGCCTAGGCGTTGGGAGGCCTGGATCCACCCGGCTGCCTGGTTAAAATCCTAAAGCACAACCAAGTCTTATTGCTATCCTCTAGTTGTAGGTTTCTTTTGTTGAATTGATCTAAGCAGTGGTGCATGCATGTATCTTGGATCATACACATCTTTCCATGAACTCACATTTTAAAGCCATGAATTTAAAATATGATGTGCTTGAAACATGCTGTGTTGTGGCCACAAGGCTTATTGCAATTTATTGATGGGGGGCCCTTGTGGAAGTGGCTGGAAATTTAGTATATTGGAGTGTAGGATCGATGTTCCTCTTGGAGGCATCATATTGATTGTTTTTTTTTTGATAACTGTTAACATTGTATCACTTAAGAGAGTAAAAGTTTACAGGATGTAGGACTAAAGGCACCCTCACAGGGTGACTAACAGTAAAAAATACATTAGTCGTCCATTCTCGGTATAGGCTTATAAGATTCGCCCAAGTTACACAATTTACAAAAATAAAAAACTGAGTTGTGGCTTGCTCGTATGAAGACGGGCTATATGTAGTACGGCTATGGTCCTGAACAAAAAAGGAGTTGGACCTGGTCTGGCCCTCTTTTGCCAGTAGATCTGTGGGATTGTTGGACATCCTCTAAGTATGCTGCCATGAGACGCTCGTACCCCTACAGATATGGGAAATTTCATCAAAGATTGAGGACAACCGCCAAGGTGGAGGGGACAAGCCTCTTGCCTAGGAGATGGTGTTCAAGGAATATCCTTCCACAATCAGTGTGCCCCAGAATGGATTGAGGTTTCTCAAACCCAATAGTAGAGCCATAGCTTCTGCATATTGGGAATCATAGTTCTCGAGATGCCCGGAAAAGGTGTAGAGGATGTTTCGTTGGCAATCTTTGCAAACACCCCCTGCGCCTGAAGGGTCAGGATTACCTAAAGAGCAGCCATCAAAGTTAAGCTTGATGCTGCCATTTGGTGGTGGTTGCTAGTTGTAGCTCTTAAAGGTTTGGAAGGCCTGTGGTTACATGCAGCAGGGGGTTTGAGTGGCCCATGTGTTCCTATATCATGTGTAATCCAATATTAAGGTTTCATCTTGGACTTACATCTCTACTATGTGATGGACCGGACCATCATTCGATTAGTCAAGAAAGCTCTTATGAGCCTTTTGATCTAATCAATCCATCATTTGACAATCCTCTTTATGATGATCCACATCCTAAGGTCGCAAGGAGATCTAAGAGCAGAAGGCTGACTTTTTGAAGGAAGTTATTTTTAGTTTATTGTTGTTTCTTGCAGTATTTTAGTCATTTCCAGCGTTTTAATTAAAATTTTGATTGATGCTGATTTTAATTAAATTTAAGGGCATTTTTGGGAACTTTTATGTTTTCATTTAAGTGAAGGGACTTATAGGGTATTTTTAAGATGTTTTAACTTCAGAGGGGTAGTTTTCATCTTTTTTATTATAATGTAATAAAAGGGCTTGGGGTTTTAGGGTTTCTACACTTTTTGGGTGTGAACAATAAAAACAGGTAGTGAGTTGTGACAACAAGCCTTGTTTGGGGTTTTGGGGTCACTCTTTTGTGCAAGAAAAACCATACCCATTCAAATATGGCTTGTGTTGATGGTTCTTAAACTAGTTTGGGCCTCTTTTCTCTATTTTCCTACGTCAATTGGTATCAAAGCTTAGATTTTCTCTAACAACAAAGTTGGCAATCCACAACCAAGCTTAGGGTTTCTTGATTTTAGGCTAAGGTTTGCCAAATCAGCCTAAAACTTGTTGGTTTCAGCTAGGTTTTGTTGGTTCTTTGCATAGGTTTGTGATACAGTGAATTTATTGTAGCAAGAAGAAGTCAAGGCAGGGGTATTCATTAGGAGATACAAGATAAGAAATGACAAGTTCACTAACTTAGGAGGTAGCTTGCAGGCATCGATCGTGGGTGAGATGAAGTTTTTGTTTATCCTAGACGATTTTGAGTACAACCCTTTTCACAATCGTGCTCCGCAAGATGAGTCTAGTCAATGTTCAAAAAAATGGATTCGGGTGCCTAGGCGATCAAGCGAGCGTCTAGGCGCGGGCGCCCAGGGTCAGGATGCCCTCACCAAAATCAAAACCCTCCTCCACCCCAAATATAAAAAATAGGGGAGTTCTTAGGGCATGGTTTATATAGCCTTAGGGAGTTTTTAGGGCAATTTTAGAGCCCCAAACTCCTCGTGATTATGAAATAAACGAAAACATAATAGCCTCCCTTTGATTGTGCTCCAGCTAATGATGACGCTCTTGCAACTTCTGATTCACAGAGAATAGGTCGTTCAATCGTTTTTGCTCTAGTTTGTTCCTCTTCTTTGTATGTACCTAATAGAAAAAAACTCACTTAATTACTAACTTAATAAGTACTAACTAGTCTACTACTAAGTGGGTATGACATTACCTTAATAAGTAATATTACCATTTCAAAGGTGCTGAAGTTACACTCACATCAAAAAGAGCTGCAAGTCAGATTTAGTATTTTCATAGCCATTGCCCATCCACCATGCACCTATTTCATGTAAATTTAAAATTGTGAATGTAGTAATTTAGTAAATTAGGAATAATTTAAAATTGTGAATGCAGTAATTTAGTAAATTAGGAATTTGTACATCTGGTTAATTGAAATTAAATACTCAAATTATAAAACTAAATCGAAGTAGTTTTAAACTTACCAGGTGAGATCTTGGACCTTTGCCGGATTGCCAACTCCTTACATAGAGATCTAGTAGTGAGCCTATACAAATCTAACTCCATCATTGCCTTATCCTGCATTTTAGAATCAGGGTTGAGCTTCACATTGCACTGGTTGAAAGCATCCATGAACTCAGGTCTGCTATGTACTTCAGCATTGATGTAAAAGTGAGCTGTGTTAAGGTAGTATCTTGCTAAGTGTAAGGGCCTCTCAAGCTGGAACTTCCATTTGTCTTCAATAATCTTCAAAAACAGCCCATACCTCTTTTCATCCCCCAAACATCTCTTGATTTCTTCCTTTGCATCCTGCATGGCTTTATAGATGTGCCCCATAGCAGGTTTTTTCTCAGCATCAACCATCTCGAGAACCTTTACCAAAGGGTGAAAGGATAACAAGGCATAATGGACATGGTTCCAAAATCTTGAGTCCATGATAATGTCCATAACAACTTTGCCATCAGCTTTCTTGTACCACTTGGACTTGGTCCAATCCTCAGACACCAACATAGACCTCAATTTACCCTTTTGCTCATATAAAGATTTCAAGGACAAGTACGAGGTGGCAAATCTAGTCACCCAAGGCCTCACCAAGTCTCTGTCTGCAGTAAGCTTTCTCATCATGGCTAAGACTTGACCAACATAGAATTCCGTAAGTTAAGTAAATTACCATCAATAAATCAATGCATTAAAACTACTAAATAAAACCACTCAAACTAGTATACTACTAAAATGTATACCAAAGTGTGACTGTACAAATAAACTGTGACGTTTTGTGCCTTTTCGATGGTTGTCCTGAACGTCTTCCTCTTACCAATAGCTTCAAGCATGAGGTCTATGCAATGTGTTACACAAAGGGACCAGAAAATACACAGCCTCTTATTCATCAATAATTTAGCGGCCGCCATATTAGCAGAATACATATTAGTCACAATCTGGACCACTTTATCCTCCCTTATCTCCTCTATACATTGGTTCACTAAATTAAAAATGAACTGTGCATTATGGGATTTGGCTGAAGCATCAATAGACCTCTTGAACATTGTCGCGAATGGACAATTCACCATCAAATTCATGATGCTTCTGCGCCTCTTATCACTCCACAGCCATCGGTCATTACTGTGCAACCATATACACCTCACATATCAGTTTGGGTTTTCAAGTAGTTGTTTGTTAGCTGCACTTCTTTCTTGAGTACTGACATGTTAAACTCATAAGCAGTTGGAGCCCCCAACCCTGGCCCAAACTGGCTCACTGCTTCCAACATAGCCTGAAAGTTACTCAAGTTAGTGGCATTAAAAGAAATGCCTGCTTGGAACATCCACCTCCCCAGATATTAAATGACCCTTTGTCCATGGTCCCTCTTCATATGGGACTCTAAGCTTGTCTGATCCCTTTCTCGTGGTAATACCTCAGGATCAGGGTGAGGTAAAAAAGCATTCATAGGCACTCTTGTTCTTGGCCTACTAGAAGAACCAACCTCAGTGTAGATCTCTTCTTCCTTTCTTCGATCTCCAATTATATTTACAACCCCTACAAGTTGATCTCGTGTTAATCTCACCTCAACTTTTTTGGCTCTCACCCCCTCCAAGTTCTCTAGCATCAATCTCCTGACCTCAGTAGGCACTAGAGTGCATGATGCCACATCCCCTTTAATGCCGGCTAAATGCTTTTTCAATCTGTTGATGCTGGCATTATAACAGTTTTTGCAAAACTTGCACTCGGTCCTATTCTTGTCAAAAGGATTTGGACAAGTTCCATACTTCCAATCTGTATCAGTTGGCCTACTTGATGCATTAGAAGCCATTATCCTCAATGAATAATAATTGATCGAGTATCAATCAGTGTGATGTAGAATCAATCACTTAATCAACAAACCTGTAAAATACATAAGATTAAAGAATTAAGTCACTAAGACACTAACTACTACTTTACAATAAGACTTAAATAAATAATTAAATATATAAGACATAGTAAGACTTTAGTTTCACTTTCACATAAGACTTAACCCATTAAGATATCACATAATCAATTATTTATCAAATAAACTAAAGCAAAAAAAATAGAATATGAAAATAAGACACATTGTACAAAAAAGGAATCAATTATTCATAAAAGAATATGATATATGCTCAATTTCATCGTCCAAGTGAGAAAAATCAATAAATCACCAAAAAAATCAATCTTTTAACTACAAACACGTAAATACACAGTAAAAGAAAAAAAAAGTAAAAGAAAAACCACATGATTCATGACATAATATGCTGTAGCAAAATAAAATTAAAACCCTCTTTCAAATATGATAATACTTTAAAAATATCAAAATCTAATTAATGTCGTTGCAAACCTAGTCTATTGGGTTGCTAAAAGTTCTCAAAATCAACTATTAGAAGCTCCAAATCCACCCACGAACTATTGCCTTCGTTTTGGGAAGAAATCGAAAAAATAAAAAATTTATCAATCTTTCGATAAATCACAAAATAGTGGTTTTTGAGGAGTTTTTCTCACCCTAAAGGCCACAGATTTTCTATTGGGGGTATATTCTACCCCCTAAAATCTTCCCCCCCCCCGCTCTTTTAAGGGGAAAAAATTACATATTTTACCCTCACCAAATGGTTTTTCCGCTAGCCGCAAGTTGTCATGGGGCAGCGCCTAGGCTGGCGCTCAGACAATAGGGCCTGGGCAGCACCTGGAAGCAAAACGCCTAATGCACCCGCCTAGACTGTGCCTAGGCGGTCGAGCAGCTGAATTTTTGAACATTGAGTCTACTCAGTCTAGTGAAGAGGAATATGATCAAAGGTATAAATGGTACCCAAATTCATAGAGCTAGAAGTAGATATTTCTGTTGATGAAGGAAAGTTGCAGCCTGACAACTTTATTGACTGGTTTAACATAGTAGAAATAGGGTCTTTGATTACAAGGATGTGCCAAAAAATAAAAATGTTAAAATTATTGCCCTTAAATTGAAGAAAAGTGCTTCAGTTTAGTGGGAACAGCTGAAAGTAAGGCAAGAGAGAATTAGAAAGCCCAAAATTAATACTTGGGATAAGATGAACAAGAAATCAAAGGAGGATCTATCTGAATATTATTTGCAATCCCTTTGTCATAAGATGAATAATCTTCATCTAGGAGAAAAAAGTGCAGAGGGGTACATTGATGAATTTTATGAGTTAATGGCTCGTAGTGATGTTGGTGAAAGAGAGGAACCGTCCTTAGCTCGATGTGTTGGTGGGCTGAGAACCAAGATGCAATTTTGCAACGTTACTGGACATTATAACCTAGTAGTGAAGGTTGAGGCTCAGCTGAGGTATTCATCATCAAGGTGAGCTTAGGGTAACACATGTGCTGCAGGAGCGAATTTAAGGGGAAATGTGGGAGTTTGGTACCTGGACAATCCTCTGACCTGCTGGGCCAGTTCTAGTTATCTAAATTGCCCAAACTGTAGCGCCATTAAGTGCTTTAAGTGTTTGGGAGTTGGACATATCTCCTCTCACTGCATGAATAGAAATTTATAAACCTTCGAGAGGAGTTCCTTTAAGAGGACAACAGGCTATGCTCTGTTTATGATGAGGAACATGAGGTAGAAAAGCCAAAAGTTACATTCAATGACCATGGGGAAGCTTTACTAATCCAGTGCAGCATGATTACACCCCGAATAGTAGATGAGGCAGATTGGTTAAACCTGAAGAATTTCTCATCAAGTAGTGATGCAAATCGCATACAAGAATCGAAGAATTAGATTGATTACAATATTTCTTTTATTTTTTTGTTTTTGTAATATTGATTTCTTAGGGATGTGGATGTAATTTTTTTATTTTTGTTGGTTAAGTTTTGTTCTCAAGGCATGAGGGGACTTGAAGGGAATTTAATTTAACAATTTGGGTGGGATAGGAAAATTTTCCAATTATTTTGGATTTATCCTTTTTTGATTTTGTGGGATTCTATTTGTAGATGAACCCACATGAAAGTAGGAGGTGGTGGGTGGAACATGAGATTCAAGTTATATTCAAGGGAGTTATAGGATTATGGGAAGATAAGAGAAAGAAATACGTGGGGGAGAGAGAGGATTATCTTTTTCTTCTTTTATTTATTTATTTATTTTTGTATTTATGAGGGTTTTGCAGCCCATTGGGGGGACGACTTGGTAATTTTTTTGTAGGGAATTATTTTATGAAAGAAGAACGAGCTTATTCTTCAACATGGCTTGATTTGCAACCACCTTATTTATTCTATTATTGTCGAATTTTGCTTTGTTTCAGATCAAAAGAAGGCCATATTTAATTTCCTTTTCACCTTTTGCATCAAGTAGCTGCCAAAATAAGCAAGTCATTGATTGAGACTCTACACTGGTCTTTGATGAGTGTTCAGATGGAGTAGTGATCATATTTTTGATCATAACCAGGTGAAAACAAGGAAGGTGACAAGGGTTAAGATGAAGATGAGAATGAAGAAATATTGGAAGAGGAAGTTCTTGATTTGGTTAGTGAGCTAGGGGTTGGAGATGATCATCTCGAAAATGCTACCTTGATCTATTCTAAGGCTAAACCAAGGCAATCTCAGCAGCATTTAACGGCATTACAGATGCAATTTCAGCAAGTTCATGCGGCTGAACTGAGTATACATGGTTATTTCAAAGACATATAATGACCATTTCCTTAAGGGGTTCTTAAAAGTGTTTATGGATACATCAATTCATTGTAAAGGCCCAATTTCAGTGCACAACCATTGTGTTGTGATTAGATCAATAACTCACAAGTCCCAGGATCGTGTTTTCAGTATTCGGGTTGGAGGAGTTTGCCAGAATAATGCAAAATTCATCTTGGCTGATTTCAAAGTTGAGGACGAGTTTTGTCCAACCAGATGAGAATGATGCAGGACAAAATTATTTTTATTCAATTTCAAAGGATGCATCTTTTAATTTTAGTTTTAGGGTTTTTGAATTTTTTAGGGGTTACAGGGTTATTTTATATTTTTATTTACTATTCCGTGGCTTACTATTCATGGGTACTGTTTATAGCTCCTATTCATGGATATTGGTCATGGGTTATTGTTTACAGGGGTAAATGTCATTACAATTTTATCATTGAGGTTAGGTTTTTTTGGGTCATTTAATTATTGTATCGACAATATCTTTGAACATTAAATTAGAATATATAAAAGGTGTATAGGGGCTAGAGAGGGTCATTCCACATGATTTTAAGAAATTGAAAAAGAAAAAAGCTTAGGCTTTTGGAACCTAAGCTTGGGGTGGGGAGGAAACCTTAGGTTTCTCCTAGTTATTGCTTGTGTTTTGCATGTTTTCTTATTGATTTTACTACTTTCTCAAATTCCCTACATCACTGTCTATGCATTCTTGGTAGATGAGCCTGTGTTGCTATATTGCAACAAGGAGGGAAACAACGAGCAGATTTTTGTCATTTCTATTCGATACCCTTTTCCATTTGACACTGCGAAATTGAAGCTTGAAGGGTTTTGTCTTGCAAATGCAGCATGCATGCTGTGTTCCTATTGCTTGTGATTCAGAGGGAAACAATGAACAGATTTTGTCATTTCTATCTGACATCCTTTTCCATTTGACTATGCGAAATTGAGGCTTGAAGGATCTTGTCTTGCAAATGCAGCATGCATGCTGTGTCCCTATAGATTGTGGTTTCACTTTATCTCTACTTTAATCAATCTTTTTTACTGGTGCTTAAATGTTTTACCAAATATATCAAAGAGATGTATATGTTAACTTTTCCTTGAACCACTTGCTTTTGCCCTTGAACTAAATTTTATAAGACATTGTAATATTATAAATGATTTTTGTCTGTTCTGATTGCTCAAACATGAGTTTTTGCAGGAAGAAATCTGACTCAAAGAAGAATTTGAAGGCAACAAAGAAGATGGGAAAAGATCCCAATAAGCCAAAGAGGCCACCTACTGCTTACTTTGTGTTTCTGTAAATGCCCTCCCTTTGCTTCCACCATAATTTGTTGTAAAATTTCTTATTTGTATGGATTTTCTTTGCGTATCAGGGAAGAATTTCGAGAAAAATATAAGCGGGACAATCCTAATAACAAATTAGCTAGTCAGGTGATTATTCCTTGTGTCTTCCACTCTATACATGCCAAAATGTTATTTGTTTTTGCTGTAAATTGAAGTTTGCAATGTGTGTTTTAGGTTGCAAAAGCATGTGGTGTGAAGTGGAAATCAATGAGTGATCAGGTTTGCTAACTCAGCCTATCGTACGTTTGCAGATTGGCTGTTTGGCTAGTTGTTGTACCTTGTAACTTTTAACTTTTTTGATTTAGGATAAAGCGCCATATGTGGCCAAAGCTGCTCAGAAAAAAGCCCTATATGATTCTTCTTTGGAAGAATATCGAAAGAAGCAAGTATGTACTTCTAATAATACTTTTTTGTATGACATGTTATTTATTGTTCATTTCCTCCACTTTTATGTTTACTCCATTTTAGTCATTGGAACAGGAAGGTGGTGTGGCATCTGGTTCCCCTGAAGTTTCTGAAGTTGGGTTAGAGGAAAGCGTGGGAGAGGTATTATCCTTTCCTGTGTTGCTATTTTTTTGGATGCTGACACTTTGGGGTTAATGAATAATTTAGCTTCCAAGATCTACTTGAGGCAGAGAATGTAACTTAAGGACTCAAGTGGCATGCTGTTTATAACTTTTCCATTTGGGTTATTTTCAAAATTTGATATATTATATATCACTGAGCGCATGGTGCATACCTGTACAGTATGTACGCTCATAATGCCACTCATTGAAAAGTCTTTCACACCCTTTACCTCAAAATACTTCTTCTTCACTGACACCCCAAGAGTACTTTTCAGCTTTATTTGTGACAAAATGCCTATTAATGTCTCTTACAATAGTCAAATTGCCTGTTTTTTAAAATTCAATTTTAGGTTTGGTTCGCTAGGTTTGAACCCACAACCTCCAATTTGCAACATTGAGTGCCTTCTAGTTGAGTTATGAGCTTGAAACCGATATTTTACATTGTAAAGAGACATGCCTTTAAATAACTGGGAGTCCTAAGCCATCACTAGTTGATTGAATCCTTAGCAAATTTAGGTTTACCCATTCTAGAGTTGGATAGATTGTTAGTTGAACTATGTGTTCTGTCTAGGGGTGGTCTAATAAGGGTGAGGACCTTGAACTTTTCCTTAACCTGTCCCCAGCTCGGAGGTGGGTTACGTTAAGTTGACAGCCAGTGTAAAACTTTGCCACATCTTATGATGAATCTTGATATGTGCTCATGCTAGGGCGTTCCTTTTAATAGCGATGCGCTGTACCACGTCTTATTGAGGGTATGATCCTTGATAGAAAAGAATGGAGGAACATGATTCATGTAGCTGACCTCAAATAATTGGGATATAGCTTAGATGATGATGATGATGCGTTCTGTTTAAGGGAATGAGAAAATTAGTGAACCAAATGGTATAGTAAGGTAATTGTGAGAGAAGCTCTTGGGATATAGGGGTGGAATCCATCGAAATGCATTTCCCACATAGTTTGTTTCTTTTTTAGAGAAAGTACATTTCTTGCATAATTGAAAATATAGGTCACTATTTTTTCCCCTAATTTTATCTTGCTACCACATTTCGTGGGCAAAATTTAAAATTATAGCCTACAAGTTTTTGACATGTCCGTCCTTTTTTCGTTTTTTGCTTTCTTACTCTAAATAATTAAGAATGATGGAAGGTTTCGAGAATTGAATTTTGTTATTTTATTGAGAACATCTTATATTTCTATTTGTGTCTTAAATACCTTAAAAAATAGGCGTCATAACGATTTTCTTGAAAGATGGACCACAGTTTTTTTTGTTTCACAATCAAGTTTCCTTGCAAAAATTCAAACTGATATTCTATAGGTGTTTTTCTTTACCTGTTCTTCTTTTTTTTTTTTTTGTGCTTTGTAGTTAGTGTTAAAAAAACACGGCTTGTTCAAGGTACTCTGTCCTTGCTAAGCCGAGTTACTCAGAGTATTTGGCTTAGATTCAATTGAATTATGCCCTAGCCTTCCTCCCGCAAACCCCCCCCCCCCCCTCCCACACCAAACCAAAAAAAAGAAAAGAAAAGAAAAAAGAGAAATTCTAGAAATTCCTTGAAAATCAGAAAATTGTAAAAATCTAAAAATATATAAAATAAAAAGAGTATTTAAACCATGAAATATGAACAAAAATAAACGTTATTTGCTAGAAAAAGAAAAAAAAATCCACAATATGGAAAAATAAGAAAAAGAGACAAAATAAAATAGTAGAAAATAAGAAGTATGTAGTTTTGTGCAAAATTAATTATAAATCTATAATGGGTGTGGTTTCTATAAGGTTGCAACCTTAAACAATCCAATTAAGGCACATCTTCAAATTTTATTGTAACCTGTAATTTTGGTGTAAGAAATTCTTAGGATTATTTGAAAATCTATTTTCATCTCTAATTTTAAAATTTTAAACTCCAAAAATGGTTAAAATTAAGTAGATCTATAAATATTTGAAAATCTTGAAAATTGATGGTCTAGATAATATGTTGCATGATGCACTATTTCTGGGTCTCAAAATTTTTTTTTTTCTTTATATTTTTACATCTTGATGTCGAGATGATCAATTAGAAGGTTTTTCAACATTAAAACAACCTCCAAATTGATTTTGAATCTCAGAGACTTGAGCTCTTGAAATTTTGGATGAATAGTGAATTAAATTTTAAATATATCGAAGTCCAAGATTTCTTTGTTTTTTTGTTGGAGAAAAAAGCCCCAGAGTGTAATCAATGATCTGAAATAGGCTTGGATTCAAAACTCTTCAAGTTTCAACCCAAATCTACAAAGAAATCACAAATTTTTCAAATTTGAGAAAAGCCTGCTCGGAGACTTTAGTTCTCTAAAAACTCTGAAGTTTAATTTTTGTCGTTCGAGTCTATTGTTTCTAATGCATATATCAAGCAAAAATCTAGCTGAACTCTTGCTAAACTTTGTGTAGTTTTTGGGCTAGTTTCTACAATTCTTGCCCAAAACTGAACAAAAGTATGCAAGGTTACCCTATTCTTGCCTCTGCTGCTTGCGACGTCGAGTGACTCGATACTTGGACGATTCTTTAAACACTGCTCTTAAGTCTTAATAATAACAATTGACTGAAAGATTCCTTGGATCATTGAATGATTTTTTTATTAGAACTTATTTCCTTTTCTTTTCCTCGTAATTTTGAAGTTTTATATCTTGAATAGAGAATAAAGATGATAAGGATATCTAAGGAGAGACTTTGATTACTCAACTTAGGCTCGTGGTTTTGGACGTCTGCATTAAGACATAGAAGAAAAGAGGTGAAATTAATAGGTGTCCAAGAACTAGATGGTGGAATTTTAAAAATGAGGAAATATACTTATCCTGGGATAACTTAGTTAAAGAAGGAAAATGGAACTCTGAGCATGAGATCAATATTATATTGAATGAGATCATTGATTTTATTAAGAAGGTGGCAAAATAAGTTTTAATAGAATCCAGAGGACAAAGAAATTTCGATAAGGAAACTTCGTGGTTGAGTGGTGAGGTTCAGAAGACCATTAGCAACAAACAATCATGTTATAAAACTTGGCATTGTAATAGAAATGATCAAAACTTAGAAGAATATAAATATATTTAGAAAACGCTAAACAAATTGTAGGTAATGCTAAACTTAAAGCATATAATAATCTATACAATAAACTGGGAACAAGAGGGTGAAAAATATGTCTTCATATTAGCAAAAATGAGAGAGAAAAAGTGTAGGGATCTAGGGCATATCAAATGCATTATGAGTGAGGATCAAGGGGTCTTATACTCGTAGTGAATGATGAAGAGCTAAACGAAAGGTGGAGAGTTTATTTTTAAATATTATTAAATGATGAACACAATGGGAACATAAGGAACTGTTGGAATAAATTAGGGCGGAGGTCATAGATGCATTCATATGATTAGGATATTGGAAGTGAGAGAAGCTTTGAAGAGGATGAAGATGAGAAAGGCTTTAGGACCATACGGTATTTCAATAGAGGTTTGGAAGTACATGTTGGAGATTAGCATTGACAGGCTGACTAAGGTTTTCAATAAGGTGTTGAGAACAAAGAAAATGACATACGAATGAAGGAAAAGTGTTGTGGTACCTATTTACAAGAACAAAAGAGACGTACAAAATTGTGCGAACTATGGAGGAATCAAACTTGTGAGCCGCACTTTGAAGCTGTGAGAGAGTGATTGAGGAATGATTGAGGCATGAAATGAGTGTATCAGAAAATTTCGGTTTTATACTAGGAAGGTCAACAGCTGAGGCTATTTTCTTAATTAGGCAACTGATTGAGAAATTTAGGGCTAAGGGAAAAGACCTTCACATGGTCTTTATTGATCTTGAGAAAGCTTATGATATAATACCTGAAGATTTGATTTGTGGGTGTTCGAAAAGAAAGGAGTCTCCAGAGACTGCATCGACTTAGTGAGATATATACAAAGGAGCGTAAACTAGTGTGCGAACAATTAGTAGAGTGGAGTGAGTTTTCAATGACAATAGATCTATATCAGGGGTCATTATTGAGCATGCCTCTTTGTCTTAGTTATGGACGAATTAATTAGGCACTTACAAGATGAGGTACCGTGTTGAATGTTGTTCGCGGATGACATAGTTTTGATCGATGAGACTTGAAACTACGTCAACACAAAGTTGGAACTTTAGAGGGATGCTCTAGAATCTAAAGGTTTTGAAATGAGTCGGACTACATACAATATATGAAATGCAAGTTTAGTGATAATAGGAGTAGAGACAAGGAAGTAGTTAAGATTGATGGTCCATAAATATAAAAAAGAGTGCATTTTTGATATTTCGAGTTGATAATCCAAGAAAATAGAGAGATTAAGAAAGATGGAGCACATAGAATTAGAGCTGGGTAGGTGAAGTGGAGATGTGTAACTTGCATTTTATGTGAGCGCCGCATATTAATGAAGCTGAAGGGTAGGTTCTTTAGGACAATTGTGAGACTGGCATTACTTTATGGGGTAGAATGTTGGGCGGTCAAGAAACAACATACTTATAAAATGAGTGTAGCTGAGATGAGGATGTTGAGATGCATGAGTGATAAGACAAGAAGGCATAGAATTCGAAATGAACACATTTGAGAAAATTTAGGTGTGGCACCAATAGGTGATAAGATGAGAGAAAGTAGACTTAGGTGGGCTAGCCATGTGTGGCACAATCCCGTACATCACCTATTAAGAGGTGTGAGTTCAAGTGGAAGTCTAAAATGGGCAAAGGGTGGGCCCAAAAGGACATGGTTGGAAGTAATGAGAAAAGATATGGAACTTATGGCCTCACTTAGTGTATGGCCCTTAATAAAGTAGAATGGCGTGTAGCCGACCTTAATTACTTGGAAAAAGGCTCTGATGATGATGATGAATAGAGAAAGATTATTTCATATTTGAATCATGCCCTTTCAGGGCTTGGTGTGTTAACTTGATTAAAGGATTGTTGAGGCCACAATGCTCTTTACTGCTCACTGCCTTGATGGATCGTGGTGGTGATTCTCTTAATGTGAGTGGATGGGCTTGATGAGGGTTGTATTCCAATGGATACTTGCAAATGCAATTAAGGAGCTTGATGGGTGTCTTAGGCCCCCCTGCACATGGGGGAGGCATCCTTTTTGTTTTGAACATTACTTTGTTTTTCTCATAGTTCAAAGTGTCGACCGCCAGCCGCATGGGAGGGCACCTTGCCCAAGTAGTTAGGATGCTTTATTGCCCCGCATTGGGCCTTTATGGCCCAGTGTAGGGCGGTGACCCTGAGCGGCCGACCAATCACCCAGGAACCACTTGGGTGCCTGCCTAGCGCCCTTTCGGCGAGGGTAGAAATTGCTTCCACCAAAAGGGCAAAAAAATGTAATTTCCCCCTTTTTGAATGAGGGGCATTTTAGCCCCCCATAACTACTTTTTTAGCTCAAAATTAAATTTTTTTTTGAGGATCGAATTGGAAGTCGAAGTTTTTGATTTCTTGTGAAAAAAATCTTTTCGACCATGGGGATTAAAGTGGTTGTGAAAGAGAGATTTTGGCAATTGAAAGTGATTGATTTAAGCCTTATTTCGATTGGTTTTCGAAAGGTTAGTAAATTTAATCGTTTATGTGTAGGGTTTCATATTTTTTGTGAGTAGTGTGTAATGCTTTTTTATCATTTACTTATGTTTATTTTTTAAGTTTGGCTTTACATTAATGATGGAACTTTCATGAGTGTTTTTTCTTGGGTTTGATGTTTTTGTGATTATGATATGTTTTTTCTGTCTCTAATTTATAATGCAAATTTGAAAATTTATAGTACTTTTTTGGCCACGTTTTCTTTGTTTCTACTTTATAATGCGAATTTGAAAATTTTACTCTATGGATGGTTGTTTCTATTTTTTAAATGCAAAACGTTTTGCTTTGTTTCTAATTTTTAATGCAAATCTGAAAATATTACATCTATCTGATTAATAATGCAAATATGAAAATATATAATATATATTTTTGGTTAGGTTTTATCACATCTTTTTGGGTAGTTTTGTCTATGTTCCTTATTTTTAATGCAAATTTAGCATTTATTAAACTCCTGCCCCCCCTATCCCTTCCTCTTTTCTTTCCCTCACCCCTCTCTCTTTTTAACACTGAGACCGTTCTGATCCATGGGTGGCCGCCTAGCTGCCCATGCAGTTTGGGGTTCCAATTGCCTGGGTGGCCACCCCAATCTTCTTGAACAATGAATTTTTTCTTGATATATTTCCAGTTGTACCTTGTGGTGCACCATCACGTACTATATATATACTACCTAGGGTAATAAATGCCTATGACAAGTCTTCTAGTTGCCTTGTGTGCATGCTCTCGTTGTACTTAAGAGCCCCCCTATGGATGTCGAGAAAAGGGGTCAAAATTCAAACAAAGTTTATCATTCTAGTGGTCTTTCCCATGAGTTGGATATGATAATCCATGCTTCCTGTTCAAGGATTTGTGTCATTGTCCAAACTATCATAGTTGATAATAAGTGAATGTGCATATGTATATTGTGATTCAACTATGTCAAACAAGGTAATTAGTATGTGCATCAACAAATTTGATAAGCAATGACATATTAAAAATGAAAGTTAACTAAGAGTATTGTTCGAAGATGCCATCTCTTTTTCCATCCATTCGACATATCAAGGGTTGTGAGGTGATCATATTTTCTTCTTGCTTATTTTGGTTGTCAGAGTTAGTTGTTTGTTTTCCTTCTTCTGTCTGGCAGAGACTTGTGTACTGAAACACTCAAGACTTATTCCTGTAAAAAATGCTTGTGAGCTCTACCAGTCCTCAGGAGCTAACTGATGGTGACCTAAAGTACCTTGCTTTGTTTTGAACTGGGCTTCTCGTATAGACGTTTTTGATTCTGAGCATTGACCATTCAGTTGATGGTGTTTCTTTCTTTCCATGCCCCTAGCCAACTTCACGAGTGGGGTTATGGATAGAAACACATCAATCGGACACTTTTGGCATGATGTTTAATGTTAATTCATCACTATTTTAACTTGCGAATGCACCTACATTACTAGGTGCTGTTCTGCTTTGAGTGGAAGTTTCCTTTGCCTCTATTTAAATAAACGTCTTTCCCTGAATGTTCTGAACTTTTTTTATTTTTCTTTGTTTGCTTTCCTGTAATCCATGCAGAGTGCTAGTGACGTGTATAGTGCTGTCAACTTTCTGTGATCAGACAAGGCATCTACTGACCCTGGAACTTGGAATGTCTAGAGGAAGTTGATAGACATACCCGTGCATATGTGTATGCATCTTGTGTTCTTTTTAACTCCACCCCTCAAACTTTGACGGTTAACATTAGCTATGGTGCGATCAATTCATTGCTCATTGATGAACAGATTCTTATTTGAACATCTGGCTTTTTGTGGGACGATGTGGGCCTACTAATACATATTGATTGATCTCCTTTTTGGTTTGGTTCTATAGTACATGTTAGTCTTCTTATTAGAGAAGGCAAAATACTTGTGTTTTATGGAGTTAACACTCAAAAAGTTATTCTTATGTCCTTTTATGTATTCATGCAAGAGTTTTTTTCATTTCCAAAGTTTTTTTGTAGTTAGCAATTATGGATAGCACTAGCAGTTGTTTCTAGTGGTGCATTGCTTTATGAACTTCTTTAACTAACTCGAGTTGGCTGGTGAATGTTTCTCATTTTTTGCTGCCACAGGAGGATGAGGATTGAGTGGACAGATGAAAGATGATTAAAGTGGAGATAAAGGAGGAAAGAGCTAACCCTCAAATGATATTTTGACCAGTTTCACCAGTGTTTATTTATCTAGAATATATAGTTTAACTAACACACATACAAGTGCTCTGTTACTCTCTTCTCACCTTTGGGCCACAGTTTCTTTTACAGGCCATCTTTTGATGTTAATGGCTGGCTTTCATAATATTTTGGAGGCCCTGCTAATACAAAATTGGAAAAAGGAAGGAAGAAATGGGTGGCTTTCGTGTTTTTGATCTGTTTGAGGTTTTTATAGGTTTTGTCTGATCTATTTACATGCTGTCTTTTGGATGACAAACTAGGATGTTTGTACTTCCATCAGGACATTATAGGAGTATTTTGTTCAATTTGTTTGTTTCACTTTCTCTCCCCATGATAAAAAGAAAAAGGAAAAAAACAAGGAAGAAAAAGAAAAGAAAGGAAAAAAAAAAACAGCCATCATTGTAGCTATAATGGTAGTGAGCATCAAGTTAAAGAACATTTATTTTAGGTTCGTACTCATTAGATAACAAATTTGATGGTTCGAGATGAGTCATAAAGTTCAAGAATTTTGTTTTGGAATTGTCTTTTCAATGATATTCTTTCAACTACCCATTTTGAAATTTAAGGGACAAGAATGGTTGTCCTTTTTGTATAAATGGTAAATGGCTTTTTTATATACATTTCTTTATTTTATAATGTGTGGCTTGTGTTACCTGAAATGGTTAGGCTGTTTATTATACATCTTTCATGGGTGTGCCTTGTGGAAGATGTAAACCGTAAACATGTTATTTAAGATGTATCTCATCTAAAGATGTAATTTTGGTGTCAAAAAATTCAGTGTCATGCAAAATTATTTCACATATAATTATAAAGGAAAAGGTTTATACAGAGTTGAGGCTCTAAATAATAAAATTAAAGTGCACCTCAAAAATTTGTCTAGAAGAGATAATTTTGATGTTTAAATATCTTCAAATTGATCATGCCAACATCAAGATGCATGAACATGAAAAAAAAAATAGATTTTAAGTTTTAGAAATAGTGCATCTTGTGATGCATTTTGGACCGTCAATATTTAAGTTTTTCAAGTTTTCATAGATCTGATCGATCTACACTATTGTTGTAGCTTTAACTTTTATAATTAAATGTAAAAATATATTTTAAGGTTATCACAAAAAATTCCAATATTGAAACTACATTTCTCGACACTATTTGAAGGTGCGCTTTATTTTGATTGTTTAGAGCTTCGGCTCCATACAGACCCCATCCAATTATAAAATCTAAAACTTAAAAACTGATACAGATTGAGTTGTTCTACAAATATATGAAAATTTTGAGAGTGGACGTTCTCGATTATGTATTAGAAGATGTGCCATCTTTGGTATTTTAAATTTTTTTTTCTATATTTATACTTCTTGAGGTTGAGATAATTAATTTGAAGGTTTTTTTTGCCATCGATAGTTTTTTAAGGCATGCATTTTTTATACCTTTAAGATTGCAACTTTATATAAACTTTTTTCATCTTTTATTAGAGGTTAAACCCCATTAGATATTTATGTAAATTTTTGACAAATCTACTTTTTGTACATACTAATTTTTTAATGCTTGGATTGGCCAGGTGAAGGGTTGATCTTGATTGGTGATTCTCTTGACGATCAAGAGAATGATTTCAAAATAATAAAGTACAAAATTTTAAAAGTCAATTGGGTGGAAATTGGTGATGCAGCTAGTTTCTTAGAGACTTGTTCAATTATCTCGCAAATTTGAGCTTCAGTCTTTTTAAATTAGACTAATTTCTTGGTTCTGATGTCCGCCTTGTGTTCACAATCCCTGATTGGCGAATTTTAATTTTTTTAGGACATATTAACTATGATTTGGATTGGCGAGTTTTATATCACAGCTTTTGAGATGGCCACTACTATAAGAAAATTTCCGCAGGCCAAAATGTGCAAACTAGCACATCATCAAGCACATACCATGCATGTACTCCTATACACTCAACAACAACAAAATCAACATGCAAATATCATCTAAAAAGGCTCTCCAAACTACAAACAGTATACGCAAAATTGTACTTTTTTTTTTTTCGCAAAATTGTACTTTTTTTTTTTACTTGTTCTCCCCTAAACATATATTCTTACTCTATACGAGGAATGATCCTATATGACTCTCTCCCACCCATGTATGTAGGAGCCCAAAGGATCACCATTAAATTTGGTACGGATCTCTAAAAAAGTCAAGTCCCACACCTATGTGATAACTTTTCTAGGGATCTGTGCCAAATTTAATGGCGATCCTTTGGGGCCTTACACACGTGGGTGGGAGAGGGTCCTATATAATCATTACTCTATATAAAAAATCCTATGGGGAGAGAAAGGATCTCTGTTATCAACCAACATTGGACCCAAGAAGTGATATTTGTAATCAATTGAAGTGTGTAATCTACTATAATCGTTTTATTTTACATGCTCTCACAGTCTTTAAAGGCCGCAAAACCACAACAACTCTTATTTGGCCTTTGAAGGCCGTACAATCACTCCCTTTCACTCTCTCGAGTTTTAAAGGCCACGAAACCACAATAACTCTTACTTAGCTTTGAAGGTTGTACAATCATTCCCTTTCACTCTCTCAAACCGATCCCATGTACATGCTTGACAAATACATTGGCCATTAATTGTTGAGTTAAAAGATTTCTAATGTAGTCTTTGTTGGGAAATAACCAACCTCGATCTCTCTTGCTCATATTTCGTTACAAATATATTAAAGTATGCTTTTAAGTGCCGGGATTTCTTGTGAAGCTATGGCTCATTAGTGACGCAAAGCCTGTGGGTACTCCATACCCAGTATTTTTTTGCTGAAGTTAAATCTTTCATCTAGGTGACCCCAAATAGTTGAGAAAAGACTTTGATATTGGTGATGATAAACCTAAATCTTTTATATCAATTTCTCGTTACAAGTTGTCTTCAATTTAATAGTTTATGAAGAATTCTTCACAACAATAAAATATCATCCACATAGCAATAAATAGATGAATTAACCATCACTATTTTTCTTAAAAATAGACACAACTATTATACTTACTAATGACATACCCTTATTCAATTTTGAATGTATCAAAGCGTTTGTAAGATTGCGTAGGAGATTGCTTTAGACTGTATAATGACTTCTTTTGCTTGCAAACATAGTCCTTTTTGGCTTTAACTATAAATCCTTCAAGTTGAGTCATATAAATTTGTTCATCTAATTCTCCATTTAAGAATACTATCTTGACATCAAGCTGCTTCAATTCCAAATAAAAAATGCAACCATGGCTTGTAATACTCGTGCTTTTGGCTAAATAGCGACTTCTTTTGTTTGCAAACATAATCCTCCTTGTCTTAAACTATAAATCATTTAGGTTGAGTCATATAAATTTGTTATTTTAACTCTCCATTTAAGAATGCCATCTTGACATCAAGCTGCTCCAACTCCAAATCAAACAATGTAGTAATACTCGTATAAAAGTGTATTTTACAACTGGAGAGAAGATCTCATTATAGTCAACACCTTTTGCACAACTTTTTGTGACTAACTTCACTTTGATCCTATCATCAGAAGACTTAGGTGAACCTTCTTTCTTCTTATTAACCCATTTTCCTTTGAGTAACTTCATAAGTTCCCATGTACAATTCTTTTGAAGAGTAACCTTTTTTTTCATTTATGACATCATTCCACATGCTACTGTCCATCTCCTATATAACATCCTTAAAAGTAGATGGCTCTTAGCTTATTGTAGCTAATGCGTAAGCCACAATGTCCTCAAACACATACTACAACATTGGATTATTGGTTATCTTTTCCCTTCCCAGGTGAGGCTTTTCCTCATCTAATGTCGGTACAACAATTTCTTCATGGTCAACATTCTCCTATACTCCTTCATAGGAATTTTCTGACATCGATTTTACAGTAGTTTTTAGAGATTTGGACTCCACCTCAATTGTATTACCATGTTGCAATTTTCCTTTCCTACACCTTGAATGTGCTTCAACATGATAAACTTATAAATAGATTTTCTATAATCTTTATAATTTGCTATTGCTCCCTAATAGATTCACCAAAACCAATAAGTGGGTTAGCCATAATGCACCAACTGATTTTCCATCTTCTTATACATGTTATATATTTCATATAGTTCACACTTAGCACATAGTTATCCTTGGTGTACCTCCATTCAATAACAATCTACAAATCTTTAGTATTGTCATAGCATTCAAGTACTTCAGATAATTTATCACTAAGACAATTTAAGATGACCCATCACTTGTACTTGGTAAACCTTTACCTATCTCTAAAAATTGTATCATCATTAGGTGCAGTTGGTTTCCTTTCATTAATCACATATAGCAACTCCATAGTATGATGCAAGAAAAATAATTACTTTTGCAAATAGAAAAGTTGAACTCATCTAGTTTCTCTAATCTTTACAGAATTGAAATCGCAGTCTTTCCAGTAGCCATTCTAGGAAACTAAAGCTATGATTAGGATTGATATGAAATGAATACTATAAGAAAATTCAGCAAACCAAAATATGGATTGAGGATTATCTAACAAAGAACTACTTAGGAATATCATTAAGTACATAACATGCATATACTGCTATAAACTACTCAACGAATAAAATAGCATGAAAATATCATCTAAAATGGCCCTCCAAACTACAATGGCATGTCCAAAACTACACTTCCTCGTTTACTTATTTTTCCCTAGACACATATTTTTAAAATACAGAAAACCAAGGGGAGAGAAATGATCATCTTCATCAAATTGTTTTCAGCCAACAGTGAGTATGGAAAGTAAATGCATAGCTACAATAAACATGCTCGAAATCAACAGAGGATTCATTGCAATAAAAGAAGCACTTCATTATCATACTAGGTCAGAAAAAAGTAGTGTAAGGGACGACTCTGAGCTGCCGATTTTAAGGTGGCCTTGCATGACTTAGGGTGCTCCCTTGTGATTCAATGGTGAGGAAAGAGAGACGGGCTCTAAGCTATGCCATGTAAAGCTTCCATTTTTTCAATGGGTAGCTTTTGGGAACAGAGTTTCTCTACACTTGGCAAGGCAGGTCAATACAAAATATAACTATACAACAACAACAATTTTGATCATTTGGAAGAAAGCTATTTTGGAAAACAAAAATGCACGAAGGGAAAAAAAAAAAGAAAAAAAAGAGAAAATTAGATCCCACCTCAAAAATTTCACTAGAAGAAGTTGTTTTGA